GCTACACTTGCTTGGGATTTTAGGGGCCTCATCTCACAATGACTGCTTACAACTGCCCTTGCTGAGAGACAGGAATCAGGCCCCTCCAAGACTTTCATTGGCCTGGAGCTAGTAGAAGCCACCCCCTGCTGAGACATTGACCAGAGGAAGGCATTTGACTTCTGGGAGGTCTGGAGCTGGTGGGTTAACTTGCTCCTTCTCATGTGCAACTTCTCTGTAAGGCAAGGAAGGCATCCAAGTCAAGATCCAAGAAGAGACCTCTTCTTTCTTTCTCCTCTTTCTCTCTCTTTAATTTTAGAGAGAATAAGGGAGAGAGGGGGCGGGGGTGAGGTGGGGGCAGGGCAGAGAAAGGCACATTGATTGGCTGTTCCACTTATTTATGATTCACTGGTGATTCTTGTATGTGTCCTGACTGGGGATCGAACACTCAACCTTGGCATATCGGGGGTGACACTCTAATTGACTGAGCCACCCGGCCAGGGCCAAGAAGAGACTTGTTGATTGAACGTCACAAGCCTTAAGGTCTTGGGCAGTGGAATCTGACTGGTTATGAAGTTCTATTACCTGGGGAGCTTGTTCCTGCCTGGTGCTCCCAGGCCTTTGTGTAACTACAGTGTCGTTCCAGTGAACACAGGATGCTGCTGTGGACATGAGCTGTCATCACCTATGCAGCTCAAGGTTTCCAGTGGGCTAAGGAGAGCCATCCACCAAAAGACAATACAAGCCTAATCTTGGTTCCCTCTGAGAGTGAAGCCAGTTCCCAAACCTGTTCCATTTCTGGCCTCAGGTACTATCTATCTGGGGGTAAAACGAGGGGCAGGGAATGCCAGAAATAACCCCCTCAGAAAGAGATGGGAGAAAAGACCATTTTCCTTTAAGTCCTAGCTTGAGGTTTTCAAGTCTGAGGCATAAAACCATTGTGAAACAGCTGTTCTTTAAAAAAACAAACAAAAAACCAACCTATGTTAGTTTATTCCACACATTCTAATCATACATACTAATGAGACAGAATTCCAAACACAGCTTCTCCGTCACTTTTTTATTCCATGGCTGACCTTTTCTCTTTCCTGTGACCACTTACTTAGAATCTTCTAGTCCTTGTGGGCTGTGACCATTGTTTTTCCTTTTTGAATTACACTTTTCCCCTTCTTTTAAAAGTAATGGAAGTTCGCCCTAGACAGTTTGGCTCTGTGATTAGATTAGAGTGTCAGCCCTTTCACAGAAGGGTCCTGGGTTTGATTCCTGGTCAAGAGCACATACCTCAGTTGCAGGTTCTGATCCCAGCCCTAGCCAGAGAGCATGCAGGAGGAAGCCAATCAATGTGTCTCTCTCACATCCATGTTTCTGTCTCTCTCTTCCCCTTCTCACTCCTTTCCAGTCTCTCTAGAAAAATCAATGGGAAAAATATCCTCGGGTGAGGATTAAAAAATAAAGTAATGAATCTTATCCTTGTCAAATAAATTCACACATTTTTTCTTGCCAAGATCAATACCCAACTTACTTTCTAATTTCCTTGAAAAAAAAGTCACCTGGCCTTTTGGAGCATAAAGTCTTAAGGGATGATCTTAGTGCTCTCCAGAGAGTGGCAGACCTCCAGGGAGGGAGGTAGATTGTTGTGGGGTCAGTGCCCTAAGCAGGATAGTGTCCTTTGGTCATTTCAAAGAGGTGGGGGGGAGGGAGGATAAAACATTTAATTGAAAACCACTGTAGGTGAAAAGATAGACTCAAATCTGAGGAATCTAAGCTAAGGCAGGCCTTGTTTCTTGCTATTCCCCCTCCCCACCCCTAGCAGAACTACTCTTTGAAAATGCAGTGGGAAGTTAAAACGGTGGGTCCCAGGGTCTTCTCATTAATTGAACTTTCACAAAACTTCAGCCACTTTTGGCTTCCAGGATGACTTTGGGGAAATACTCCCCAAGATGACCTAATCATCTCACCTGATTTCTTCTGATGTGTAAGATTGAATGTGTATGTATGAGGCTTGGGGGTAAAAGGATTAAAGCGCCACCATGCTCAGGTTTTCCACATCTTCTTATGTAATCGATGGAGCTGTCGTTATGAAAGGACTCAAATAGCTAAGCAGCATATTGGCTGCTGAGTTTCCTTTGCATAAGACAGTGAGCCCAGCTCAGCAAAGACTGCATATCTGAAGGTGGGAAAGCATACCTCTCATGCTTCTATGTTCCCACGTTGACTATTAGTAGAAATCTTCAAGTATGCATTCTTCTGTTTGGCATTCATTTTTTATTTACATGGAAGGCAAAAAGGAGGGGGCAAAAGAGTTGTAATCCAAGTGACTAAAGGTATGTGACTGTGGCCAATCTGGACTTCTCTAGTCTTAGAATAGCTGATTGATGGCATATGAGGATATAGCCCTGCCAAAAATATCCAAAGCCCTTGCATTTAGATATTACTGAAATACAAACAGGTACAGCCTAGCCAGCATGGCTCAGTGGTTGAGCATCAACGTATGAACCAGGAGGTCATGGTTCAATTCCCAGTCAGGGCATGTGCCCGGGTTGTGGGCTCAATCCTCAGTGTGGGGCTTGCAGGAGGCAGCCAATCAATGATGCTCTCTCATCATTGATGTTTCTATCTCCCTCTCCCTTCCTATCTAAAATTAATAATAATAATAAATAGGTACAATCTCTGGGGAAGGTGACAAGGATTCAATAAATTAACTCAATCCTGGATACTACCTGGAAAACTAGGATAATGTAGCTGTGGTATTCCAAGGGATAGCTCCTGCAAGTTTAATACCAGCTGTTCAAGAAATTGCCCTAACTGGTTTGGCTCAGTGGATAGAGTGTCAGCCTGAAGGGTCCCAGGTTCGATTCCGGTCAAGGGCATGTACCTTGGCTGCGGGCACATCCCCGGTAGGGGGTGTGCAGGAGGCAGCTGATCGATGTTTCTCTGTCTTTGATGTTTCTAACTCTCTATCCCTCTCCCTTCCTCTCTGTAAAA